GTTAGGGTAACGAATTAACTATTATGCAAATCATAACAAAAGAATACATTCCTTTATAACACTGATTTAAATGACAATGTAATGAGCACTTCATAAAGTAATATGAGAATAATATTGTATGACTGCTGCTGTTGCTAGCAAATGGTGGTTACTTGGTATTGGGATGATATTATTCGGTTGCCATCATCATAGTTGTAGAACAAAAGTGTTAAGAAAAGGAATTCCTTGCACGTTTCATGCACGTGCAGGCTGAACACGAAACGGAAAGGGAAATGATTATGAAGTGCGTTTTGTAGGATTTCAGCTTCTGTGTTTCATTTCATTGTTTTTAAAATAATAAATATATGAAATATTAAAAACTAAATTAAAAAGTTAAGAAAGGTCATATTATTGTTAAAGGAAATTAATAAAAAAAATTACAAAAATTAACAATCTTTTAAATTAATATCACTTATACGCCTTCTTTTATTTTTTTTATATATTTCTAGTTTACTTTTAATGTTTTGAAGAAATCTAGTCCTTTTCACTTTTCTGGGCTGTCATTTAAATATCAAAAACATGTTATTTATTTCGAAACCTTAGAAAACAAAAGTTTTTCTTTTTATTTCGTTCTAAAGAAATGCGTGAAAATGAAATTACAATTTTTACAATTCTATTCATAGTCATTTACAAAAGAATCAAACTCTTTAGAAAACGTTTATCAAATAATTTTTGTTTACCATTAAAACGCGTAAACGTTTCTATTGTCCTTTTAACTTCCCCACACCCACGAAATTTCATTCGTACTAACACCACCTCTTTATTCATTTTCTCACAAGAAATTTCCCCCTTCTAAAGCATTTTCTTTTAGAGATAATAATTCTTCATTTAGTTGAGGCATTGAGAGTATTCATTCATTCATTCATTGCCTTTCTAACTTTCAAGTGGCGCCACAAACACTCGTTTATATATTCTTATTTTCATGTTGACTGCCTGACTGCCTGGCTGCCTTCTTCATTCAAAACGTCAGCATCATGTCTTGAATACGAAATTAAAATTTCAAGTGTTAATATACTCGTGCTGTAAGTTAGTTAACATGGTAACCACACTCACTCACTCACACAACTTCTCCTGAAAGTTAGAATCTTTGGCAGGAGTTTTATTTGCAGGATTATAGAGAAGACAATGATTTTTTTTTATTAAATTTTATTAAGTTGTTGCTGAAGGTGTCGTTTGTATTTATATTTACATATCCCTTGAAATTGAGTAGCATAAGAAAATAAAATTGAATTCCAATTGATAACAGTTAGTTTGTAATTATTTAAGGATCTTAATTGAAATTTATTGCCGACAATCGTTTGATATGTAGTACATACATATATGCTATTTTGTATGCAAAGTTGTATGTAATTGTAATTTTATTTTAAATTGATTACAAATTTGAGACTTTGAAATTAAAGAAATTCAATCTATACATTAAGCCATCGAAAACTGATAATGACTGAATAACTTAACTCATCGAAATTAATGAGAACATATAAAAGGGGACAATTTGGTACTTTTTCGTTCTTTAGCTGGTACTTTTAGAGTTTTCTGTAATATTGAACCTAGAAACTTAAAAGAAAGCATGTAGAGCCCAGAGTAATTGGAAACCTCAAAGAGGATAAATTTTACTTTTTCGTTTTTCAAAGGTACTGTTTGAATTATCTACAATATTGAACCTATTAAAACTAAAAGTAAGTATGTAGAGACCAGCATAAAGGTGAACCTTTAAAAGGGGACTTTTTGGTACTTTTTCATTTATCAACCGGCACTTTCTGAGTTTTCTATTGTATTACATCCAGAAACGTAAAACTAAGCATTCAGAGTTTTGAGTGAATGAAAATCTAAAAAAAGGAGTATTTTCTGGTACTTTTTCGTTATCTAATTGGTACTTTTTATAAAAACTTAGGAAGATACATACTTCGTACTTCAAGTGGTACATTTCGAGTTTTTTGAATTAAGAACGCAGTGTCTCGTACATTTGTAGATTGTAGAACGTTAGTTACTTAGTTAGTTAGTTAGTTAGTTAGTTACTTAGTTAGTTAGTTAGTTAGTTAGTTAGTTAGTTAGTTAGTTAGTTTGTTAGTTAGTTAGTTAGTTAGTTAGTTAGTTAGTTTTGTTAGTTAGTTAGTTAGTTAGTTAGTTAGTTAGTTAGTTAGTTAGTAGTTAGTTAGTTAGTAGTTAGTTAGTTAGTTAGTTAGTTAGTTAGTTAGTTAGTTAGTTAGTTAGTTAGTTAGTTAGTTTTAGTTAGTATAGTTAGTTAGTTAGTTAGTTAGTAGTTAGTTAGTTAGTTAGTTAGTTAGTTAGTTAGTAGTAGTTAGTTAATTAGTTAGTTAGTTAGTTACTAGTTTAGTTAGTTAGTAGTTAGTTAGTTAGTTAGTTAGTTAGTTAGTTAGTTAGTTAGTTAGTTAGTTAGTAGTTAGTTAGTTAGTTAGTTAGTTAGTTAGTTAGTTAGTTAGTTAGTTAGTTAGTTAGTTAGTTAGTTAGTTAGTAGTTAGTTAGTTAGTTAGTTAGTTAGTTAGTTAGTTAGTTAGTAGTTAGTTAGTTAGTTAGTTAGTTAGTTAGTTAGTTAGTTAGTTAGTTAGTTAGTTAGTTAGTTAGTTAGTTAGTTAGTTAGTTAGTTAGTTAGTTAGTTAGTTAGTTAGTTAGTTAGTTAGTTAGTTAGTTAGTTAGTTAGTTAGTTAGTTAGTTAGTTAGTTAGTTAGTTAGTTAGTAGTTAGTTAGTTAGTTAGTTAGTTAGTTAGTTAGTTAGTTAGTTAGTTAGTTAGTTAGTTAGTTAGTTAGTTAGTTAGTTAGTTAGTTAGTTAGTTAGTTAGTTAGTTAGTTAGTTAGTTAGTAGTTAGTTAGTTAGTAGTTAGTTAGTTAGTTAGTTAGTTAGTTAGTTAGTTAGTTAGTTAGGTAGTTAGTTAGTTAGTTAGTTAGTTAGTTAGTTAGTTAGTTAGTTAGTTAGTTAGTTAGTTAGTTAGTTAGTTAGTTAGTTAGTAGTTAGTTAGTTAGTTAGTTAGTAGTTAGTTAGTTAGTTAGTTAGTTAGTTAGTTAGTTAGTTAGTTAGTTAGTTAGTTAGTTAGTTAGTTAGTTAGTTAGTTAGTTAGTTAGTTAGTTAGTTAGTTAGTTAGTTAGTAGTTAGTTAGTTAGTTAGTTAGTTAGTTAGTAGTTAGTTAGTTAGTTAGTTAGTTAGTTAGTTAGTTAGTAGTTAGTTAGTTAGTTAGTTAGTTAGTTAGTTAGTTAGTTAGTTAGTTAGTTAGTTAGTTAGTTAGTTAGTTAGTTAGTTAGTTAGTTAGTTAGTTAGTTAGTTAGTAGTTAGTTAGTTAGTTAGTTAGTTAGTTAGTTAGTTAGTTAGTTAGTTAGTTAGTTAGTAGTTAGTTAGTTAGTTAGTTAGTTAGTTAGTTAGTTAGTTAGTTAGTTAGTTAGTTAGTTAGTTAGTTAGTTAGTTAGTTAGTTAGTTAGTTAGTTAGTTAGTAGTTAGTTAGTTAGTTAGTTAGTAGTTAGTTAGTTAGTTAGTTAGTTAGTTAGTTAGTTAGTTAGTTAGTTAGTTAGTTAGTTAGTTAGTTAGTTAGTTAGTTAGTTAGTTAGTTAGTTAGTTAGTTAGTTAGTTAGTTAGTTAGTTAGTTAGTTAGTTAGTTAGTTAGTTAGTTAGTTAGTTAGTTAGTTAGTTAGTTAGTAGTTAGTTAGTTAGTTAGTTAGTTAGTTAGTTAGTTAGTTAGTTAGTTAGTTAGTTAGTTAGTTAGTTAGTTAGTTAGTTAGTTAGTTAGTTAGTTAGTTAGTTAGTTAGTTAGTTAGTTAGTTAGTTAGTTAGTTAGTTAGTTAGTTAGTTAGTTAGTTAGTTAGTTAGTTAGTTAGTTAGTTAGTTAGTTAGTTAGTTAGTTAGTTAGTTAGTTAGTTAGTTAGTTAGTTAGTTAGTTAGTTAGTTAGTTAGTTAGTTAGTTAGTTAGTTAGTTAGTTAGTTAGTTAGTTAGTTAGTTAGTTAGTTAGTTAGTTAGTTAGTTAGTTAGTAGTTAGTTAGTTAGTTAGTTAGTTAGTTAGTGTTAGTTAGTTAGTTAGTTAGTTAGTTAGTTAGTTAGTAGTTAGTTAGTTAGTTAGTTAGTTAGTTAGTTAGTTAGTTAGTTAGTTAGTTAGTTAGTTAGTTAGTAGTTAGTTAGTTAGTTAGTTAGTTAGTTAGTTAGTTAGTTAGTAGTTAGTTAGTTAGTTAGTTAGTTAGTTAGTTAGTTAGTTAGTTAGTTAGTAGTTAGTTAGTTAGTTAGTTAGTTAGTTAGTTAGTTAGTTAGTTAGTTAGTTAGTTAGTTAGTAGTTAGTTAGTTAGTTAGTTAGTTAGTTAGTTAGTTAGTTAGTTAGTAGTTAGTTAGTTAGTTAGTTAGTTAGTTAGTTAATTAATTAATTAGTTAGTTAGTTAGAGCATAACTTCCTCCTACGCCAGGGCGGACATAACAGATTCTTTTCGAAAAATACATTATTTTTAAAATACACTCATGGTGTGGAGTATCATGTGGTCGGTTATGCCCGACAATTCCTTCCTACTTGTTAATCATACTTTTCTTTCAATAAATTTGAGTAAGAATTTCACAAACTCATCAATTTTTGTATTCTGATTAATCCCATACTCAAACACATCAATGACCATTCTATTCAGTCTACTTGCCGTTCACTGGTCCGTTAAATTAAATTTTTGTTGTTACATTTTTGAACGAGGATTGTACTATCAAAGCATAATATGTTAGCATCGATAATCATAATTTATAAAATTGTTTTACCCAGATAAAGTTAACAAATCACAGTTAAAATAAATACAAAGATAACTCACCCACTAAAAACTCCTGTGGCTTTTTCCTTAAACGCCGTTAAACCCTTCATGTTGTTGGAAAAGTTAGAACTTTTTGTTGTGACTTTAAATGATTTTGTACTTTTGTGGTTGGTTGTTGTAGATGTTGTTTTTTTTGGTTTATAAGGATTCAATGCGGGTGGTCGTTTTTAGCGCATATACAATTTTGAAAATTTAACTTAAACTACAGAACTTTGGCGTACGTTTCACACGATAATTTTAACACTTTCATTCGTTCACACGTTGCTTTTTTTCCAGTGTCTACTTTCTTTTGATTTTGTTATTTATAACACGTTTATTAAGTTATTCGATTTCAACAAATTACAAATTGAAATGGAACTTTGGATTTACTTGGTATTTCGTTTTACTTTTTATATCCTTTTTTTTTTTTGCTTTTAACACTTGGTGGGTGGTGGTTGCTTGTTATGCTGTTTATATTGGTTTGTATATCCTGTCGTTTATAATCTATTTTTATGAGTTTTTCCCCGTTATTTTATTGCAGAGCAGGCTTAATAATTATTTCTAGCGACTTGCTGACTATTGTCGGTTCATTGGTGTATCCATAATTCCTTTTAATTTATTTATAATGAAATCACGGCAGTCATCACTAACTTCATCATCACCATCCTCACTTTTACGGGGCTTGGGCGTAAGTTAGTAGTTCTTATTGTAGATTTGTTGTACGAATACGAGTTTGTGCCAAATTGGCAGTTATGGGTCATTTTCATTTTACTTTTGCCTCCTGTAACGATAAACAATAAAATAATGAAAGGAAAACAAATTGGAATTTAGTCATGCTCATTTGCTGATAAGCGTATATGTATATCGAAAGTTATATAATATTTTTGTAAAATTGTGGAATTGTTTTTGTCTATATTTGTGTATGTATATATTTCCTTCCATTTTTATTGCCACAACTGAAAACATGGCAACCAACATAAGCCGATTATATTCATAAATTTTACTTTCTTCAAAGTATGAATTGTACAAAATTTTGCTGATGAAATTTACAAATATTGCGTATGTAATGTATATTTGAATGTTTGTAGTTATTTTTGATAATAAAAACAACAACAGCAACAAAAATAATTTAGTTGTATCTACTTCAAAGGATTTTATATTATTTTTATTTGTAGGAACTTTTTAAGCGGATTGTTTTCTTAAAAAAAGAGCAACGATATTTTTAGGTTATTAAAATTTTGCTATAAAATTAAATGGTATTCATAACATCATAACAGAAATATCACTAACTTATATGAACACGCCTTTTCTAAAATGGGCGTGGCTTGTTTTAAGCTTTATTCCTGTAAAAAGCAAATGATGTAAGCTGAGTTTTCATCATTATTTTAAAACATTTAATCATCTCCATTAGGGTTATAACTTTGATATAATTTATGAAAATTTAAAATCAGCCCTATCCATTCCACTAAGAGTATAAAACAAGTACATCGGAAAACTATATCAATTTTTCCCGAGCGTTAAAAAAGTTTTCGCGGCAAATGATTTAAAGTTTTCGCTATTTATTCTAAACAAAATTTTAATTTTATTATTACAAAATCGAAAATTTTTTGATATAAACAAAGGTCCTTGCTTGACCCATAATATTTACAAAGGGAAAGCAAGAAGAGGGGCGGTTTATACCGCCCCCTCATAGTTTTGTCGTACTTGTGATAAGAAGTTGAAGAGTTTCGTGAAAGGGCAATTTTGGACAACAATAAAATAAAAATTATATTATATAAATATTGTTGCCTAATTTTGATCGACTAAATTGAGAATATTCTTCTGAGTCCATAGAAAGATATTGCTGATAATTATTCTGAAATCAAGAATCGTTAACCCTTTCAATAACGGGGTCAAATCGATAATATTATTCATAGTTCATGAGAATATTATTTCCTAGTCCATGGAATGATATTGCTAATAATTTTTCTGAAATCGAGAATCGTTAATCATTTCAAAACCGGATTCAAAATCAAGATTTTGATATTCTTGAATATATTTCGGACAAACTACACGAAAATATATCCTTAGGTCTCCTTGGGGCCAATTATTTTCTTAAAGGGTTAATAGGTATATATCGAGTAATTGGCATAAGGTATTATTTATATATACTACAAATAACTTCTAAGAAGTTTCATAAAATCCTTTAAAAAATTATCAACATCATGTTCAAGAACATAAAATATTAAAAATTTTAATTTTGAACCCGGTTTTTAAAGTGTTAATGTTTCTTAATTTCGAAAGAGGTATTGAGTTCATACTTTTTATGTTTAATTCTTGTATATATCCCTTATAAAATTCAGTTAATTTCTTTAAATAGATTTAACACAATTTTGTAAAGTTAGCTAATGGAGTTTTGGGGATGCTGTTAAAATAATGACCCATTGTTGACCACCGACTAATTTCACTATTAGAAGTTGATCCGAAAGAAAAGCCTATGTTCGACCCACACTAGTTGCCATATTTACACCCATTATCTCTATGTCTGCTTATTTTTCATCCTTACGTTAAATTGAGAGTTTTTATACTGAAATTATTTTAAAAGGCAGAATATGTACCGGTTAAATGATAACCGGAGATAGAGATAATGGATCTTAGTAGCATGTTTGTTTAAATGCTAATGTGTTTGTATTCATATTAATAATTTAATTATTTTTTTAAATAACTATTTTGCTAAATTGTTCTGAGTATTGAAATCAAGTATGAATCGAGCTTAAATCAAGCCCATTATGGTATTAATTCAAACTTGTTTTCATCTCAAATGTAGTATGCATTTAAGCTTAAATCAAACCGCAAATTTTTTATGTACATTGAAAGATCACTTTGAATCAAAGAAGGCTTAAATCGCCAATTCTTATTTGAATCAAGTATTTTGTAATTAGTTTTAGAAAAACCGTACTTTTGAAACCGCTCCGAATTACTTAGCTCTTCTTTTGATTACAACCACAATTTTTAAAAGATTTATATACATAGTTAAGTCCATTTTGCATATGGAATGGTATTCATCATACTCCTAGTGCAAAATTTTTTGCAAGTACTTGAAAATATTTCAGGGATGGCTTGATCATGAGTAAAAAATACCCATTTTCAATACCGAACTAATTTGTGAAAATTGTAACTTCTCCCGTTCGAATCGTGTCGTGACTTTAATAGACATATGGTGGTTGAACTTTGGCGTTGGTCCCAACTGCTTTCAGGGATTAAGTTTCTTATTTTAGATATCGGATTACATACTGAAAATTCCTGACATTGTTTTAAAATAGGTCCATAAATAATACATACTTTAAAAATTTTAGAAGGTTCATTGGTATCGAATCTTGTCCCGACACTAATGCGACACAAATTTTATGTTTACCAAAATTAGGCCCGATCACTACAGTAGTGTTCTAATAATCTACATGTTTTGGTACTAAATTTAAAATAGGCAGGCCATAATCTTGCATATTTCCCATGTAAATGTCATGGGTCAGGCAATCACCATTGTTTATATCGAAAATTTCTGATTTTGTATTAAAAATTTGTTTTAGAGTAGATTTCGAAAACTGTAAAGCATTTGCCGCGGAATGTTTTTTAACAGTGATATACGTACTTTTTATAATCTATGCGGAATGGATAGGGTCGATTTGAAATTTTATAAAAGTTATAACCCTAATGTATAGAGTTATTAAAACGTTGATAAAAAGAATTACATAGGCCAGCAAAATTGAAAAAAATCAAAACCCAGAGATCAAATTATTCTTCATTACATCATAATTTACAGATTTTACAGAAAGATTGAAAAATCCCGTTTTTAGCCACATTTAAGACGTTATAACGGAGCGAAGACATCTTTACTTATAAAATTTGTTATGTCACCTGAAAATTTAACCTCTCTTATATCTTCTTCTTCTTCCAGTTATCTTAATCGATAATTAAAACAAGTTTCTCATAAAATAAGTGGCGAAATATAGTTAAAAATTGAGTTTTTATTGATATATGATAATATCATGCTTTAGGTTAAAATATGTATCTCAAAGAAGAAAGAGATATAAGATAGGTTAAAGTTCACATATGGGACATTAAGATGAAACTAGAAATTTCTATAAATAATGATGTCATCGCGCTGTTATAACGTTTAAAAAATGTCGAAAAACAGGGGATTTTCGATTTTAAGAACACGAAATTTCAATGACATGATGTGAGATTCATATTTACTCTCCTCTTTTGACCTCTATAATGATATATTATTGTCAACCGAACTATCCAAAAATTATAAAACCAATTTATGATGTGGTCCTGCTATACATACATATATGGATTTCAATTTCATACTTTAATAATAATTTGATCGGATTTTAGGAATAACTCAAGCCGTCAATACTTGGAAAAAAACCCAGATACTCATCAGTCATACCCATTTAAATTATTGAGCTGCACTTAATTCAAGTCCCGACTACTGAGTTTCTCTTTACATCAGGTTTTTGAGAAGGAAAACCGATTTTGTGCATTTATCGTCTTTAAATAAAGGTTTATAGCTTGTTCCTACATTGAAATATCTTAAACTAAAGTTTAAGTTCTAATCTGGTAGACCGGAGTTCATGGGTTCGATTCCTACCTAAGGCACTGGTAAAGAAGCGCACAACAGGCTCGATAGGGGCCCAGATGTATTTCTTCAGATTTGATATAACATACATTATATTTTCAAGTTGGAAACTATGTATTTTAAATTACAAAAAGTCAAATTCGTCTATATTGTCCGACAAAAACTTCAACAGACGATATCTGGGCAAATAAAAAGAGATATCAAATTTATCCGAAAAATACTTTTATAAGGTAAACTATGATAAGTTGTGAAATGTAAAGAAAATTATATATATTTTGTAAATACATACTTCTTTCAAACTTTAGCTTAAGATATTGAAAAGAAGAAACTATATATGGGCATTTCCACCGAAAAGTCAACTTTTGTCACATCACGTCACGCACAATTAACTGCTTATATCTAGGGAAACAATATACATATTTTTAATTTGTTTATATTTTTATGTAGAGTTCTAATAGCTCTATACATAGGATAAAGGTGCGACCAATAAAAAAGAATAGTCCTAAGATATTGTCAATTAATGTGCGTGACGTGATGTGACAAAAAATATACTTTTCGGTGGAAATGCCCATATAACAAAAGATAAACCAGTTATAAGAAAAGATAAAATTTTATTGTAAAGCAAGTAAAAGGGTCTTTCAGACAATATATAATAAGATTAAGATTTGAGTTGTTATTCTAACAGAAAATCGATCATATAAATAATATGCATATTAATCATTAGGTTTCATAATATATATATACAATTTTGAATAGGATTTGAAAAAAAAATTTATGTAATATTTTAACTTATAATTGACATAAAACATTTACAAGTTACTTACATATTTTATTTGAGAATAATCCAAAGTTAAATTTGAGGTTATGTAACACAATAAAGTAATATGTTTAACGATAATGATGTCATTAATAGTAATCCAAGGACTCAATCCAAATTTTGATAGTCGTACGATTTTAACACTCACATACATATACTACATACGATACGATTTTTTAAGAATTTTTATAATATTTAACGATTAAATGAAACGTTATAACGAATTTAAGGTACACAAATTACGATAATGATAAGAAATAACGGTACGGATTTATAGATATTTTATATATATATACACTGAAATAAAAAGTTTTTCAATTATTATTTGAAATTATTTAACAATAAATAAATTGTGTTAAAGGAAATAAAATGAAACGAAATTTCCTCAAACTCGAACGATTTGAAATGACATTTTTCAGACAGAGCTAGTGGTTTGTAGAGACAAACCAGCGACCCGTTTAGAACTCTGTCTGAAGACTGTAATTGTAACAGAAATGTTGTACGCTATATATTAAAGGTAAGTATTTAAATTTGTTTTTTTTTTTACTTTTGAGGATCGGAGGTGTATTAGGGTGGTAGATTTGTTGGTATATAAGAATATATTGGAATATTTTATATGGGAATAGTTGTATATAAGGCAAGAGCTGGAAGTATTATATAAATATGGAAAAAACTCTCTTTTCCTTTATTGGAAAGAAATCAAAATCAGAATTATGATGCAATCTGTAAATGTCTTGGAATTTTTTTTCTAAAGGAAAGGGGTAGGCAAGGTTTTATATATATGGAACAACTAAAAATTTTCACTTTAGGGAAAGTTTAGAAAATTTCCATTATTTTTATACACAGAAAAAAGAAAAAACACAATTTATTATAAAAATTCAACCCCTTTTTTTTGGGAATTTAAATTAAATAAATAGTTTTTTTGGAGAGTTTTTTTAATTATTTTTTTTTTAACCGACCTCTTAATTTGCTCTTTAGAGTTTAATAGAACCGCTTTATACCGTTTTTTACACCACACAACAGGACTACAAACGAAGAACTACTGTATGAATTCTTAAGACCTGAAAAATACCAGCAATGGACCAAATTATGCTGAAATCAAAGCATAAACTTTTCTATTTCTCTCTTGCTTTAACGCTTAAGAGCAAGCGGGTAGGCATTAGTGTGGTGAAAAGCTTGGCATTACTTTCAAACCTGCGCATTTTGCATTTCAAAAGTTTGAAGTGAAGGAATTTTTTTTAAAAATCTATTAAGTAAGGGTTTCTTTAGTGAAAATGTCCTTTTGCGTATAATTAACTGTAGCAATGTTAAAGTGGGTGGTTTTTCCCTAAGAAAAAGTGGTAGGGGTTGCCACCTGTACGCTGGCAGCCAATCGTTATACAGCAAAGGTGGAGTTTTCTGTTTGACCATTCTCCTAATGGAAAAATTCTTTATAATTGTTGTTTTTTTCTACTAAACTGTCTCTCATCGGTTTTGTAACAATAAATATTTATTGTTTAATACTCATACGTTTAAAATATGGAATTTCTGTATCTCTATATATGAGAACATTTTAAGCGTTTTTCATTCCAAAATCACTACAAAAATCTAGGGAAAATATTTCTTATAATATTCAAGCAATTCAGCCATTCTGTGGAAATGTTTGATTGTTTAGGGCTTTTATATCCTAGAAGTTAAATGTATTGGTATATAAGACTAAATATGTATGTGTGAGTGTATATATAGTACATATTTACTATATATATAGTAAATATGTCTATATACTATATCATTGTCTATTTGTTTGTGTATTTTTAGTTAAATGTAGCCGTTTTGCTGACATTGGTGTCAGCCATTTTGAATTTCTATATTGACGTTGTTTTCTCTTAATATTTTTTGTTTTAATTTTTTTTTTACTTCCCTTCATTTGTTAAGTTTGGGTTCAAAAATTTGACATTTAGTTGGAATATTTTTTTAGTGTAGGCTTTAATTTCCATAAATCAATAAAAATTCTTTAGTAAATAGTAGTCATGTGTGTTTTTTCCTCTTTTTTTCGTAATAAAGGTCAATTGAAAACGAAATCATACGTTGACATTTATTTGTCAATATTTATTAAAAAAGTTTTAAAACCTAATGTCACAGGAAAATTACAACCTACAGCCGATTTCAAAAATTCCAACAAAATTTGATTTTTGAAAGAAAATAAGAATGCTATTGTATACCCTACACCACTTTGTTGGGTTAAAGCTGATGTTTGTAACTTACTCCTATGCCCACCTTAAAGTATATCAATCGGCTAAGAATAATCTGGGTCGATTAAGCTATGTCCGTCCTTCCATATAAACCTACAGGTCGAAATTTTGAAAATAATTCAATGAAATTTTTTATACGAACTTCTAGAAGGATTAGTCCACAATTCCTACAAGTCACTTAAAAGTTTGTCGTTCCGTGTGTAACATCTGAGACCCCATGAAGTATATATTTATATATTTTCAGGGTCCTTATGAAATTCTGAGTCAATTTAGCTATGTCCGTCTGTCTAACACGCTCTCCCTAAAACTATGTAAAGGTAATCTGCCTAATTATTCATTATAATCCTAAGCTGGTATTAAAAATCAGCAAAATCGGTTTATAATGTAAAAAGTTATAAGTAACAAGTAGGAAAGTATAGTCGGTCATGGCCGACCATTTGATACCCTACACCACTGAGTATGTTAAAAATGTTTATTATTTTTAATAACAAAGCATTTAAATTGTTTACCTTAATTCCGAAATATTTTAACAATTTGTTGAAAAAAATGATTTTCTAATAGAAGGGTATGGGGGCAAGGGTAAATATGGGCCTATCCTTATAAATTTTGGTACATGGCTTTACGTTTACATTAGAGTTATGTATGCTGGATTTCATCGTGATACTAGTGTTTATTAGTGAATTATTGACCTTCAAGTCATTTTCTGAAGGAGACTTTGTATGGGGGCTAGGGTCAATTAAGCCGTATATAGAACTAAGTTTTGCCGATTTTTGTAGAAATACTACAATATTTAACATAATTATAAACTCTAATGCCTTTTTTCGGGGGGCAGGGTTGTATGAGGGCTAGGTGAAATAATGGACCAGTTCAACCATTTTCAATAGTCGTTTGGCCGAAAAACACGTATGGTCCAAATTTCATCAAAATATCTTGAAAATTGCGACCTGTACCTTGCGCGCAAAGTTTACATGGACAGCCAGCCAGAAAGAAATTCTGAGTCGATCGGTATACTCTAAGGTGGGACCAATTTTTTGGTGCGTTACAAACATCAGCACAAACGCATAATACCCTCCCCACTATGGTGGTGTAGGGTATAAAAATTTCAGACTACTTCGATAAAACATATTTTTTTCCCCCATTTCTTGAGTAGTTTTCTCAGAAACTATCGAAGATCCTTCGATCATTTTGACACACTTTATATATTTTTTACAACCAGAGATTAATTTTGTTTAAAATTATAATAATTTATTCAAAATTTTACATAGGCCCCATACAAAGTTATATATTCCCGGAAAAAGATTTGTCGTTAATAATTTACTTTAAAATATCGTTAACTATAATCCGTAAATTTTGCAAATACATATACATAAGAGCGTGTCAAGTGACCCAACTTTTGAAATCGATGTCTTCCGATTTTGATGAAATTTTCACCAAGGTAGTAGTAGGCCAGAAACAGGTTTATCGTTCAAGAACTGCCAGACTTAGAGGAGATCAAAGTTAAGACATTTTGGTCATACAGAGTTTTATTCAAATGAGTATAACTTTTTACCTATTGGTCCCAGCAGTTCTTGACCGATAGAGCTGAAAATTTGTTTCTGGCCTACTATCCAATAGTACTAACCTTGGTGCAAATTTCATCAAAATCGATTTTTTGAGATGGATCACTTGACATGAAATTTCCCATATATAATCTAGTGGTGCCCGGTCCGCGTTGCTGGACATGTGGACTTTACACGTAAAAATCTATATATCCTACAAATTTTAATCGGTTTAGCGGTTTAGGTGTAATCGAGTGAAAATTACAACATCGACGCCGTCTGTCGGACAAATTTAAAACTTTACAGGAGCACTTCTCACGATATCTAAAACATATATTTGAAATTTTGTCGTATCAGGTACCGTAGTTCCTGAGTTTATCGATTACGAACAAACATTGACCTTTTATTTATTATTTATATTTATATAGAAGATAGATTAGTAACATAGAATGTATCGGCCTACAATGGTTCATAGTTCCTATAAAAGGTCCACTTCAGAAAATCTCTTAGTAATTAAGAATTATACATTACTAGTTAATTAAGAATTTAATATATCGAATGTTCTACATTTATATATATGTATGTATGTCTTATGTAAACATAAATCGTATCGGATCGGTATTTAATTGGTGATGGCTCTCATATAAGAACCCCTATCAAAAATCAATTAAACGAACATTTATATTTCATGGATACATGAAGCTATTTTGCTAGCACGAATATATCGTGAGCATATAAAAATCACTCCGTGAAATTTTGTCTTGAATCGGCCCGTAATTGGTCATAACTATCATATAAGGACCAAATACGAAAGTAATGATACGAACATATTTCATAAGTAAAGATATCGGAATATTATTCTTCATCAATGTATTTTAGGTGCATATAAATTAAACCGCCGAATTTTTTCCGAATAGGTCCAAAGCTTCCATATAAGGTCCACTACAAAAATTCACTTGAACGCACATATTTCATATAAATGTAAATCAAGAAGCTATTGGGATAACACGAGTATGTCCATGAAATTTGTTCTTGCATCGGCCCGTAATTGATCATAGCTCTCATATAAGGATCACATACGAAAATAATGAAACGGACATATTTCATAACATCGGTATAAAGTACATCTTCAATGTATTTTAACTTCATATAAATTACCCTGCGAAATTTTTTCCGGATAGATCCATAGCTCCCATATAAGTTCCACTTCAGAAAATCACTTAAACCCACATATTTCATTGATTAATAAAGCTGATGGATTTTATTCCGATTCTATGAAATTGGCCATAACTCCCGTAAAAGGTCCTTATCCGCAAATGACCTAGTCTCAATGATAAACAATTAAAAAATATTTGTCTAAAAATTAGTTATTTAAATGGGTTTTGATAAAAAGTAGCTCACAGTTGGAGGGTATTTAAGATTCTGACTTGATTGAGATTAATATTACTTTGTGATTTTCAACTGATCGTTAAAATGTTCATATAGATTTAAGAGCAATTTCAATACATGTTTAAAGAATTTCTTTAACTTTATTGGCTTTTCTATGGTCTAGTATATTAACTAGTTTAAGAACAGGTATTATTCTATGTGCTAGTATATGGACGATTCTATAGACCAGTTTTTATTTTATAATCTATTGGTTAGTACATATACTAGTCTATAGTGTACTCTATAGACTACTCTATGTCTAGTCGTAGTCCTATTAATCTTTTGAATAGTCTCTTATCTAGTCTACAGACTAGACTTTTGTCCAGCATATGGACTACTCTATTATCTAGTATATATACTAGTCTATAGATTCTTATATTATGTATTATTTTATCAAGTCTATATATTAGAATATTGTTTAGTCTATGCACTAGCCTTTTGACTAAAGGGAATTGTTAACTGACTAATTACTAAATTGATTAGTCTACTGATTTTCTGTGTGCAGTTGCTATATCAGATTAAATATATGTCATTCCTTACTAGACTGCTTAAAAATAATGCAGATGGTACTCACTGCAAAGTACACCTTTAAGTAAGTACAAGTCTCAATATTGGTAAAATTTAAAAATTTTCTTTAAAAATGTTTCAAAATTAAATTCTTAAACATCTTTCTAGCATTATCATTAAGTCCTTTGCTAAATTATTTAAACACATTACAGTAAAATATTTATAAATCCCTGTAAAATAATACGATAAAGTAAATGTAGATGATGCGCTCCTTGTACCGTTTGAGTGATTAATACCATTAACGAAATTATCAAGGATTATAAAGGAT